CCTCTCCACCTATCTGCTCCTTTATCCACCTTCCATCTGCCTTCCCCACCCTCTCTTTTTTTCAGAATCCCCTTCTCCTCCCCCATTTCTGAAGAATGGTCCAGACCTGAAACGTCAGCTTTCCTGCTCCTCTGATGCTGCTTGGCCTGCTGTGTTCATCCAGCTCTACACCTTGTTATCTCAGATTCTCCAGCATTGGCAGTTCCTACTATCCCCGCTCATTTTCACCTTGTTTGCAGGAGTTTGCTTTCTGCAAGTCCCACGCAACAGTACTGACAACACTTCAAGGAGTACTTCATCGGCTGTCAAGTGCTTTAGAAAACTGCTTTTATAAGTGCAGATCTTTTCTTGGGTTTTATTTTTAGTGAACTTCATCAAACCTGCAAATTCAGGGGATTATTTGAATGTTAACACAACCTGCTTTTTAACCATGAGAACCATGGCTGACAGCTCTCTGCCTGCAGTGACCTCTCATGGCAGAAAGCTAGCACTGTAGCCTATCACTTCCAATGGACGAGTTGCTGGGTCTGAACAAACTCCCCTTCTGGGGGTGGGGGTGGCCACTGTGGAAGATGCCACCCTTCAGATGAGACTTTAAACTGAAGTCTTACCTGCCTTCTCTAGTCAAAGTAAAAGAAGCCCTGATTATACTATTTTGACAAGCTGTGGGGTCAAGTTTAGTATTCTCTCTGTTTGCCAACCATCAAGAGTAAGGAAAATAGATTTTGTGGCTTTTATCTCACTGTTGTTGTGGGATGGTTCTGTGCATAAAGGCACTGTCCTCATTTACCATATCTTGACAGTCATGGTACTTCAAAAGCACTTTTTCTGTAAAGTGCTTTGAATTGTCTGAAATTGGTGAACGGTGCTATAGAAGTATCAAGTCTTCTCCTTATCAAAACCTGTTGGCCTGCCACTTTCAAACTGGGATACAATATTTAGGTTTGTCGGTCTTTGATAATTAGCTTTATTATATCTTTCCTGTGGTATAAAATAATTTTGAGATTTCAGCTTCTGGTTGGCCATTCTGAAGCCAGTTTCTCTTTCCCATCATCGGTCCAAAGATGCAAGAATTGAAGTTATAGAAACATGTTGGGTTCCCAACTGTCTAAAGTAGACACATGATTCACACCATGCAAAAGCAAAATACTGCGGAGGCTGCAGATAATGAGTTAAAAAGAGAAAATGCTGGAAATACAGAGCAGGTCAAGCAAGCAACAATGCTGACATTTCAGCTCATGGACTTGTGATCTGAAACTGCAAAAGTTCAGAAAATGTAATAGGTTCGGACATAAAAGGATGTCAGTGATAGGGTGGAAGACTGGAGTGGAAATATGAAAGAATTGGTGGTGCAGGGCAAAGAGGACTAGTCATGGGACAGGTACAAAACTAAAGATGTGTGTTTAGAGGAGGGGTATGTGTGTGGGGCACAATGCTGAACAGGTGCTACCCAAGAGCACGGGGGAAAACGAGCATTACTTCAATGTCAGCATAGATAAAAGACAGACAATGGGGTCAAAAGTTATGATTTGAAAATGTTGGAATCTGCATTGGATCCTGAAGACCATAAAATGCCTAATTAAAAGATGAGGTGCTGATCCATTTTCCCAATTTCTCTGTCTTCATGGTGTTGTTTCTGACGATACAGCCTATCATACCAGCCCATCTGATATGTTCCTTCTACCTCATCCAAGGATTCCTCCTAATCATCGTTGATGGGATCCTTGACTGTATCTGCCCCATTTGCTGAACTTTTGTTCTCACCCTTTTCCCTATCAGAATCATGATAGGGTTCCTCCTGTCCTTGCCAGCCTTTCATGTTCAACAAATTACGTTTGGTCACACCTGCCACATCCAGTATGATTCCACTGTTGAATGCATCTTTCTCTCCCCTCCCTTGTCAGCATTCTGAAGGGATTGCTTCCTCTGTGACTGCCTAGTTCATTCCTTAAACACCTCCTGGTGTCCCTACTCTTCTCAAAGTATCTCCTTATGTCCACTGTAACACCTATCCTTTTCCGTCCTGGCTTCTCTTTGTCCAGACACTCCCTCCAAGTTATAGGTTTACTTGTGTGTAATTATTTTAATTTCGTAAATGCTGCTGACAATGTGACCTGCTCTGTGTCAGGCAGACCAAATGCAAGTTAAATTCTGCTTGGCAGGCCTGGCAGCATCTGTAGAGAGAAAGCAGAGTTAATGTTTGGTGTTCAGTGACCCGTTTCTTCAGGTATGCTGCTTAGTGGAAGACCCCAACCGTTTGCCTGGCACAAGCGTGCAGTTGCGAGTCATTTTAATTCTCCACCTTGCTATCACACTGATATCTCTGTCCTTGGCCCGTTGCACAGTTTTGGTGAAGTTCAATGTAAGCTTGAGAAACAGCACCTCATCATTCAGTTAGACACTTCTCAGCCTTCCAGACTCCTCATTTAGTTCACCAATTTCACACCGTAAACTGCCCCGTATTTTTTTTCCTTTTGCTTTGTTGGTTTTAATTTTACTGCAGTTTCTCTCTCATTGTTGGGCAGCAGCTGTTCGTGCCCTGCCATTCCCACGTCTTTCAGACACATCTTTATTTGCCACTTTACTGCACCGTTTGACTCTGTGCCACCAGCTCTTTAATCTCTCCCTGACTTCCACTCCATCACAAACCTTTTGTTTTATCCTGTTCTGCCCCACCTCGCCTGTTTAAAACTGATTACAATTCTCTGTCAGCACAATGCTGCAAAGGTGGAAAGGCCACCTATGAAGAAATACTGCCCTTGCCAGCAGTTGCCAGAGCCCATGTGAGAATAAAGATCAACATTACTATTCACTATTCACGTTATACATTTCTGATCTAGATGACGGAACTGAGGGCATTGTTGCTCAGTTGACAGATGACGCAAAGATAAGTGGAGGGACAGATAGTGTTGGGGAAGCAGGATGGCTGCAGAAGGACTTGGACAGGCTAGGAGAGTGGGAAAGGAACTGACTGCAGTACAATGTTGGAAAGTGTGAGGTTATGCACTTTGGTAGGAAGAATTGAGGCATAAATGAGGAAAGACTTCAGAAATCAAGCACAAAGGGGCTTAGTCCTACTTCAGGATTCTCTTAAGATTAACGTACAGGTTCAGTTGGCAGTTAGAAATGCAGATGCAATATTAGCATTCTTTCAAGGGGACTGGAATACCAGAGCATACCAGGTATACTGCTGAGGTTGTATACGGCTCTGGTCAGACTGCATTTGGAATATTGTGAGCAGTTTTGGGCCCCGTATCTCAGGAAGGATATACTGGCCATTGGAGGAGGTCCTCGAGAATGATCCTGAGGATGAAGGGCTTGTCTTATGAGGAGTGGTTGAGGACTCTGGGTCTGTACTCGATGGAGTTTAGAAGGATGAGGGGGGAATCTGTTTGAAATTTACAGAATATTGAGAGGCCTGGACAGAGTGGATGTGGAGAAGATATTTCCACAGAAGAAGAGTCTAGAACCTGAGGGCACAGCCCCAGAGTGAAGGGATGGCTCTTTAGAACTGAGATAAAGAATTTCTTCAGCTAAAGAGTGGTGAATCTCTGGAACTCGTTGCCACAGAAGGTTTTGGAGGCCATGTGAGTGTTTTTAAGACACAGTCAGGGTCTTGATGAGTAAGTGCATCAAGGGTTACAGGAAAAGGCTGGAGAATGGGATTGAGAAACATTTCAGCCATGATTGAATGGCAGAGCAGACCTGATGGGCCAAATAGCCTAATTCTGCTGCTATATCTTATGCTTTACGTCCTTGTTTACAAGTTTAGTTGTGGCCTTGTCCCTGCCTGTCAGTGTGATTTGTTCCAGCATTGCTCGTTGCTTCTTCAGCTTCAGTGTGTCCTGTCCCTCTGTACTCCAGGAACAGCGGGAGCTGTGCAGCTCATGGCATATGGTGTGAATCGGAAGTTTTTTGCCTCACGTTTCTAATCACGTTATTTTCGGGTAGATGTTTGAAGGGTAACTGGGAGTCCCCTTTAAGATCGGGTCTTTCTCACTGTCAGCAAAACTTAGTGATTGAGAAAGAAACACAAAATATTGAAAGGAATAGAGAGGAAAGAGTAGATTAAGTTCTCTGCTATTTCTGTGGCAATCTTCAGCCTACTGGAGTTAACCCACTTGTTCTCCTGTGTAAATTGTTGTGTTAGTCTGAAACTTGGTACCCTTGTGTTTGACCATCAGTGCAAAACAAAAAGCTTTGAGCATCTCACTTTGTAGTAAGATCGAATTGAGAGAGAGGAAGTTGGAGACAGAAAGGAAAAGCTAAAGTCTTTTTTAAAAGAAATTCCCTCAGAGTAATTTGCTACTTGCAGGAGTGAGTTTCATATTCCGTAGTTTCAGTTGCTCGCTTTTCAGCACTGCAAGCTTGCGTGGCAGCCAAGCAGCGAAAATTGCCCATTGACCGAGCCTTTCTGAGATGACAAGTTGGGCTGAATGCAATGTTCTGCTCTAGTTACAGCTGAGATGTAGCAATTCCTGACACGAGGGGGTTGGCTGCAAGTGACAGTTGGTACAAGGCTGATGGTGGAGTGACATAACTGATCTTGCAATGCGTAGTAATTTACAACTCATAGCTTATCTCTCTCACTGCCCATCATGGCTTTTGCAAATGTATTCATGACTGTGATACCTTCAACCTGCTGTGTCTCTAGCAAATTCTGTACTGTTACCTGTGATTTTCCATCTTCCTTTCTGCCTGCAGAAGAATCCAAAGAAACCTTTTGAACCATTTTTTTTGTATCCTATTTAACCCTGTTTCCACTTACTAGCTGTCCACTCTCGTGCTTTAAGTGAATCTTTGTGAGTAGGAATCCTGATGCAAGTGTGAAATATGGAAACAAATTACTTGGGAGCACTCAATTGCTGGAATTAGAACTCATTCCTTCGTATTTCATATTTTGAACTGATGACAGACCAAGAGTTATCGAATGTTTCATGATGATGGCATGAAGTCTTTCTTCCGACGACTCACGTTCACACCAGATGGCTCTTTGCTGCTCATTCCAGGTAAGCAGGTTTCTGATGCTTTGATCCTTCTTCCGTAGAGTGATGAGAACTTGGAACCAGTAATTTCCCTACTTCCTTTCTCCACAGCAACCCCTCAGGCTATCAAAATTCCTCTTGCCAGCCAAACAACACCACTTCCTCCTGTAGTATGAATTGTTGTGAGAGTTTAAAATTTTGGAATCCTTGTGTTTATTTTGAGGGTCTTCAGCAACGTGTCTCTTTTCAGCAATATTAAAGAGTACTTGGTTTTAGGATATATGGGAAATACCCAAGCGGTTGTTTCAGAAAAAGTGGTGATATTTACAGGTTTGTTTTCACGTCCAGTGTAACTTAACTCTGTTTTTTCTTTTGGACAGTAGAGTTGAGGAACTTGATGAGTCAGTGACAGAGGTGCATCAGAATTGGAAAGCCCTGGTTTCCATGCCTCCCTGGCCAGCAATGAGATACTTGATCTTAGCCAAGGCAACAGTAATGGCTGGACTGATACTTTTGAGGGCAAGAGGAGAAAAGTAATTCAGGACTTCAGTTCCTGACAGCTCTTCAATGATCTGTGTTGTGGATGCTTTCCAATCAACTGATTAGAGAGAGTCTTCAATTGCTTTGTGTGTGAAAAATCATGTCTCACAAATTTGATTGAGTTTTTTGAAGAGGTGACAAAGAAGATTGATGAAAGCAGAATGGTAGACACTATCTATATAGATTTCAGTAAGGCGTTCAACAAAGTTCCACATGGTAGACTAGTTGGTAAGGTTAGATCATGTGGGATCCAGGGGGAGCTGGCCAGTTGGATACACAATTGACTTGAAGGTAGAAGACACAGTGTGGTGGTAGAGGGTTTATTTTCAGACTGGAGGCCTGTGACCAGCGGTGTGCCACAGGGATTGCTGCTGGATCCACTGCTTTTCGTCATTTTTATTAATGATCTGGATATGAATATAGGAGGTAAGGTTAGTGAATTTGCAGATCACTCCAAAAGTAGGTGGTGTAGTGGACGGCAAAGATGATTATCTCAGGGTACAACGGGATCTTGATCAGACAGGCCAGTGGGCCGAGGAGTGGCAAATGGCGTTTAATTTAGATAAATGTGAGGTGTTGCATTTTGGTAAGGCAAACCAGGGCAGGACTTATATGGTTAATGGTAGGGCCTTGGGGAGTGTTGCTGAACAAAGGGACCTAGGGGTACAGCTGCATAGTTCCTTGAAAGTGGAGTCACAGGTAGACAGGGTGGTGAAGAAGGTGTCTGACATGCTTGCCTTCATTGGTAAGTGCATTGAGTATAGAAGTTGGGGTGTCACGTTGCAGCTGTACAGGACAATGATGAGGCCACTTTTAGAACACTACGTTCAATTCTGCTTTCCGTGCTATAGGAAGAATGTTATTCAGAAAGGATTTACAAGGATGTTGCCAGGATTGGAGAGTTTGAGCTGTAGGGAGAGGCTGAATAGTCTGGGACTATGTTCCCTGAAGCGTCGGAGGCTGAGGGGTTACCTTATAGATGTTTATAAAATCATGAGGGGCATAGATAGGGTGAATAGTCAAGCTCTTTTCCCCAGGGTGGGGGAGTCCAAAACTAGAGGTCATAGGTTTAAGGTGAAAGGGGAAAGATTTAAAAGGGACCCGAGGGGCAACTTTTTTCATGCGGAGGGTGGTGTGTATATGGAATGAGCTGCCAGAGGAAGTGGTGGAGGCTGGTACAATTACAGCATTTAAAAGGCATCTGGATGGGTACATGAATAAGAAGGGATTAGAGTGGTATGGGCCAAATGTTAGTAAATGGAACCGGATTTATTTAGGAAATCTGGTCGGCATGAACAAGGTGGACCGACGGGTCTGATTCTGTGCTGTACAACTCTGACTCTCTAACTTGTTCAGAGATAGAACCTAGGCCTCCTGCCTCAGAGGTTGGTATGCTACCACTCTACCAGAGGAGCCCCTAATGATCTGGGTTGTAGACTGGACATTTCTGCATTTTGGGGGAATATATTACTCTAGACTGCCTCTGCCTGCCCTTTCCAATGCAGTCTGCATGCGGGAGCTGCTACATGTTGCTGGTACGTCACTCTCCAGTGATTCAAAGGAGAGAATTGATTTTTAAAACATTAGCTAACTGGTGTACAACTCTTAATCACAAATGGTTTCAGTTGTGGATTGAAGTGTTAAAAAACTGCTTTGAATCACAAAGCTGTTTTATTTCAGATACCCTTTCAAAAGTCTATGCAAATTGTTTTCTAAACCACACATATCCTTCAGCAACTTATTGATCTGAGTCACGCTCCTCTAAAGCTGCTGCCTCCCCCAGTCCCAACTTGCATTCCCAGAGTTCCCTGCAGTATATCTACAGTCTGATGTATCAGTCACATGATGCCATGATAAGAACCTTTAGGGAAGCTCTGCTGCTGATGTTACAAACTTGCAGCAACCAGCAGGTGGTAGCACTGTCCCCTTTGCGAGGGACAGACAATGGAAGCTGAGAAATGTTTGAATTACCAATCTTATTTTCTTGCAATAAGCATTTCCAAGACAGCCAATGTAACAAAAACAGATGCCATCAGAGCAGTGTTAGTCATTGGATTCTGATGGAGGGTATGTTTCCTTTTCTGGGTCAGGTAAAGTGCCAGCAGACATCTTGAGAAAGTCGATGATTGTTGAAGGCAGATTAGAAAAAATGGATAGCAGTCTGGTTCAAGAATGCAAGATGGTTCTAATCTTGGCAATGACTGATCATTGTCTTAAAATCAGCATGTGGTAAAATATAGAAGTGATTGTCAAGAACAAATATAAGGAATACTGTCAGAGAGCAATCGGATAAAAATCCCATGTGCCCTTGAAAAGGGTGTTGTTACTTAAAGTGAAAACGTGGAGATTTGAGAGGAATTTTGTTTATTGGGATATGGGTGTCACTGGCAAGGCCAGCATTTATTGCTAATTTATTGCCATTCCTAATTGTCTGGAATTGTCCATCTATACTTCCTGCTCTTTTGGGAAAGCAATCAACATAATCAAAGACTCCTTCCACCCTAGTAATACTCTCTTCCACCATCTTCCATTGAGCGGAAGATATAAAAGTTTGTATACATGTATGAATAGATTCAAGAACAGCATCTTCCCTGCTTTTATTAGACTTCTGAATGGACCTCTCAAATTTCAGATTTAATGTTGATCTTGCTCTGTGCATCTCTGCAGCCATTGCGATGTATTCCTCACTCTGTGTTCTAATACCCTAATGCACTGTGTATTAGCATGATCTGCCTGTACTGCACATAAAACAAAACTTTTCACTGTACCCAGGTACATGTGACAGTAATAAGTCAAATGCCAGACTGTTTCTCTAGGTCTGGAGACACCTGTAAGCCAAACTGGGTAAGGTTGGCAGATTTCCTTCCCTAAAGGACATTAGTGAACCAGATGAGTTTTTATGACATTTGATTGCAGTAGCATGCTCATCATTTTAGTTCCAGAATTTTATTGAATTCAAATTTCGCCAATTACCATGTTAAGATTTGAACCCATGTCCACCAATTGTGACTCCAGTGACATGACCACTAAAACAACCACTGCCTCTAAAATGGAAGTTTCAAGAGAAGCAATGGTTGAATGTGAAATTGGCTGAAGAAAGAAAGTAGTGAGTTATTTGATAAGAAAGTGATTGTTTAAGTGAGAGGGACTGAGTGGGATGTTCATGGATTGGTCAGGAGACCCTGCATATTCCTGATTAGGGTGCCCAGTTAAACTAGTCAAGTTCACAGAAAATAGGGGTGGAACTAAAGTATGAAGCAGGCAGAAACTGAAAACAAAAAGCATAAAATTAACACTTGGGTAAATCAGTGCAATAAAAGTAAGAAGAGTTAATTGTGGAATACAAGCGATCCTCCTCCTTTCTGCTGTTGTGTGTTTATTTCAACATGTGGGACCACATTACAGCTGTATTACCTTAAACAGGACAGTTCATGGTATCTTCGGGTTGCTGTGCACTTTTTGCAGAGGGAGCACTGGATACAACATATTGACAGGGTCCCTGTATATTACATATGATGTAGATTCAGCCAAAGTTCAAACAAAGTTTGCTTGTGATAGATGTTAAATCACTGTGAGGAACAATGTTTAATAGATTGTTGAATTTTGTGTCAACAGAGAATAGTTAGATCACAATAAAACCATAGATTATCTTGAGTAATTTTTTTAGTGAGTCAGATAAGGCATGTTGAGAAGCAATTAGGATTGAAAAAGTCAGAAACTCTAACATGTATGAGCAAAGACTTGGGAGACTGATGCTCTTCAGTCTTAGCTTGATAGAGAAAAGACTCTGTAGAATTATAGAAGATATGAACTGGTGTAGATAAACTCACCTTGAAATACTACTTCAGACTTTGTCAAGTTATTCTAACAAACCATTAAGACTATCGAGAGGAATGATACCAGAAATACCTTATTAATCATGATAGGTTCATGGGTACATAAATTTGGAACAGGATGGAACACTGGTGTAGATGTCGCTGTGCTTTTAAGTTGTTTTTTAGATGCAAAACAGGATTTGGAGCTCATGGGGTTTCCACGGTTTGGAAAATTGTCGTGAGAGGAAGTCCTTTTGGTTTCTGTAAAAACAGGGACTTTCACAAATGGAGTGGTTTGATCTCAGTGTCTGATTCTCTGAGCTGTTTACTGAAGCTCACAACCTGAATAGAGAGGGTGAATCTGGGACAGGAATAGCCTGTGCTTCATCTGCACAAACGTGAGTTCCATTGCTGGTTTTACATCCTGCTTTCCCTGGCTTCCTAGGGACATACCAAACACCAGTATTGAGCCCCTTGCTGATGTCAATTGTGAACTTTTCAAGTTGCCAGTTATTGTGGTGAATGGGTCAGGCATTGGACACACTCACGCCATAGATGACACATTCTACATCCACCATTGCCATTGCCCACGCCCTGCCCTGTTCTAGGCCTAGCCTGAGACACATTGTCAGAGCCAAAGTGATGTTGAAATATCTTAGTTTGGAGCTCCATGAGGTTTCCACGGTTTGGACAATCTGATGCAAGAGGAAGCCCTTCTGGTTTCAGGTAAAAACAGGTACTTTTCACAAATGGAGTGGTTTGATCTCCGATTCTCTGAGCTGTTTGTTCAGGACATGAGGCTCAGCAGAGGGGTTGAAGCTTTGCAAATTGGCTCTTGTATGTTTTTGAATAAGGTTCCCTGTAATAAGAGGATTTGTGTCTTTTGTTTGCTCTCTTGTTGCTAATTTAAACTAAGAGCTTGTTTTTGAGAGGATGTTTTAATTTCTGTTCTTGCCTGTTGGTGGGAACTGTTTTGAATGTACATTCTCGGGTCCAGTTGTACAACACCAAGTTGAACTTACTTTTCTGTCGTTAACAAAACTTGGCTTTAGAATTGAGAGATCAAGGATAGGCTAGTTTCAACAGGGCACTGCATTCTGATTACTGTGGTTCAGTGATCGCTCCATTATGTTACTGCTCAACGTCTCCTTTTGAGTTTGGTATCAAACTACAGCAAGGAGCAAACTTCTGCACATCACTCAAGTAGGTGATGTTCACAAATCAGTCACAGATCATTCCTTTTCCAACAAACAAGGAGAAGGACAGTGTAGTACTTTGCTGTGTGGTATTAGGAGAAACATGCCATGGTGCCATTGTTTCAGACAATCACTATAAATGGAGAACCTGGGCTTCCACAGGATTCTGTGAAAATGTTGCTGACGGATGATTTATGAGAATAAAGAGTGTCCTGCATAAATCCATGTCAAAAAATAGCAGAGACTGTCCCTTCCCTGCGGGCATTGAGGAAAGTCTGATGTACATTTAACAGATGAAGAGGAGATTCAATGGAAGTTTGCAGTTGGAAAATATGCAGAAATATTCTTCATTTGGTGCCTGCCTTGGTAGGGGTAGACAGCATTGGATGAGTAAATTGTCTTTGCAAAGAAAGGAGTTTTTTTTTTTCTCCGATGTGTAGCATCAGAATAGGTTATTCGTGTTTCAGTGAAATATTATAATGTTGCTTGAAGGGGGTGGGAATGGTTTATTATATAGACAATATCTCCTACATGAGTGAGAGCAAATACTGTGCTCTGTAAGGACTGCATAATAACTGTTTCAAAATTAATAGTCTTGCACATCTCCTGGACCTTGTTGCTGCTTCTGAGAAATCTGTCCAGGTAGTTGCAAATGTTTGGAAGATGTCTTCATTGCCAAGTGTTAGAATTCTGCTGCTGTTGCTGAGTAGAGATCCAATATACTTTTTTAAAAAAAAAAAACCCACTGCACTCGGAGAAGGATCCTCTCCAAGGACAACCCTTGAATGTTAGTGTTCCTTTGTGTCTGTGCCAAGCAAAAACATGCTGGTCTTTCCTGGGAATAGTATGTGCATTTGGAATGAGCACAGACAGCTGTTGAAAATAAGTGGCCAAATGTTTAAACTGAAATAATTACAATTTGCACGTTATTGTTTGTTTGAGTTAATGTACGATTGCATTAATAGTTGAATTTTTTTCTGAAGATTAATGTTGCAGTTGCATTTTATGTGTAAGTATCTTTTAAAATGCATAGCGATGTCCCACAGAAATTAGATTCCTGTACTGCAGAAATTGGTTCGGTTTAAGGTGGAAACTGGTTTGAGATGTCCTAAAGTTCTAGGGACATCAGGTAATGCAAAACTACAACAAACTTTGTTTTAAACGGCACCTCATGAGCCAGAACTGTTGATAAACCGGCAATAATTAAATACCTCCAATACCAAAAGTTTACTGTATTATTGCGATCTCCGCAATGTCCAAGTAGTCAGTTGAAGGCTCGAGTGAGAAAGCTCTCTCCTGGTAAGTTTTATCGAAGGCAAAGTTGTGTTATTATTTGTGATTTATGTTGTAAGTAAAGTAAAACGATGTGTATACTTCCCGCATTATACCTCTATACCTTCTATACCTCTTGATTATCCAGAATATTTGATCAACTGGCATATTCGAGGTCCCATAGGTGATGGATAATAAACAAAAAGTTTGTTGTACTTCTACTTCGTTAGTTTATTGTCTCTTAACTCAGCCCTGAAGTTCAGAAATGTATCACTTAATGTGCGTACAGAGGCGTTGAGTTTCTTTGGTTATGTCTGAAATGGGATTTGACCTGAAAGAATCATCATCTGCTCCAAACTACTGCTCTACTTAGATGCTTAGCTTTGTGTGTGTTAGTTCTTGCTGGGATGTAACTTATAGGTGAGCTAGTATCTGCTGTTGTTCCAGCTGTAAAGTGACTCTGGAGTTTTGTTCATATGGAACTGTGATCCCATACCAATGTCCTCATGAAATGCTGTGCTAATATTTATGTATAGCCACTATTAAAATAGTTGTTTTGCAGCAATCCAGAAACACAGACTGTTTATTTTCTGCTTTGCTGAACTTGCTCCCAATGGTACATTCTCTGCAATTGAATAAATATTTAAACAGCAACCAATCTAATCTTTGGTTGAATTGAGTATTGCCATTGTAATTAAAGTTACAAAGAATTAAACAATGATTTTAATTTTGATGCCCTGTTTGGAAGGACAACATTAAAACTTAGAAGTGGTTGGATGAGAGGAGTTTTTGAAACGAAAACTGTGCTGCTGTTTGTTTCTTTCAAGGATAAGTTTATCGGTTCCTAAAACTGACTTGATGACTTTCTATTGTGTGGAAGTATCTGTCAGCTTTCTTCTCCCACTTTCTCCAGTGTTTATTCCCATAGCTCAAAGCCAATGGTGGTAGTTTTGTGCAATTATTTCAGTTTGTGAGAATGATTTAGGAAGACATTCCCGTTGGTTCAGTGGTTAGTGCTACTGCCTCACGGCACCAGGGACCTGGGTTTGGTTCCAGTCTTGGTGTCTGTTCGAAGTTTGCACATTCTCCCTGTTTCAGCACGGGTTTCCTCTGGGTGCTCCGGTTTCCTCCCACTGTCCAAAGATGTGCAAGTTAGGTGGATTGGCCATGCTAAATTGCCCATAGTGTTCAGGGATGTGCAGGCTATGTGGATTAGCAAAGGGAAGTGCAGGGTTACGGGGATAGGGTGAAGGGTCTGGATCTGGGTGTGATGCTGTTCGGAAGGTCAGTGTGGACCAAATGGCCTCATTCCACACTGTAGTAACTAAGCAAGACATTTCAGATCTATATCTGTCTGGGGGCATTGTGGCTACTGTTTGAGTTAACTGCTGATATAGAAACAGAAATTGGCTTCAATTTTTGATAGGTCTATTGATCAGAACCAGATCCAATCTGAAAATCACACCCCACTCCCTTCCAGATGCGTTCCCATTGTTCTTTGTTTGGGTCTTGTGTTTCATGTTTGCTTATGTGGCTGCGCAGCACCTTCTTATTGATTCTGTGACTCCTCTTTCAGCTGGTTGCGTTGAAGCTGGAGAGAACGTTACGAACACAACCTATGTATTTTCCAGGAAAAATCTGAAAAGGTAGGACCTTTGCTGTATTATTACAATATTGAATACTTGTGTGAAATTTGCGAGTTATCTTCACCAGTGCATCTTTTATTTGAAGGCCCATAGCCCATCTGCCTTGTCCTGCTAAAGCTACTCTGGCTGTTCGCTGCTGCCCGGTATTTTTTGAGCTAAGGCAACCAAAGGTCGAAGGTGAGTCTGATGCAGTGGTGTGAACACTCGTTGACTGTATCTGATTTTGTATAACAGTTATCAAGGAACATGGAGTTTAATTATTTCTCTTTACTGCTGCTGCCTCAATTTTCTTTTGTCCTGTCTAGTCTTATTCATGTGGAGAGATGATCTGAGTGGTGTCAGGAATCTCCTCTTGTTAGTTATCTATTATTTCATATGTACAACTAGACAAGAGGCATCGCCACGCTATCCGATTGATAAGAGCACTGAAATTGGGAATAATTGTCGAAGGCTTTAAGTGAGTCCTTTATCCATTTGGACAAATACATGGATAGGAAAGGTTTAGAAGGATATCGGCCAAGTGCAGGGAAATGGGCTTAGCATGGATGGACATTTTGGTTGGCATAGACCAGTTTGGGCCAAAGGGCCTGTCTCCGTGCTGCAGGAGTCTATGACTCTATGCCTGTCATCCAGGAGTGCCTAAGGTTTTCTGCCCAGAATCTAATTGTGCCCAGGTATGAACTGTCACATCAGTCCCAGTCTGGATTGTATTTGCATTTACATTCCTGATTTCCCATCAAGACTTGTACGAACTATTGTGTACTGAATATGTTAATCTGGGCCATGGTTGAAGACAGTTGGAAAACAAAAGTCATGCACTAACCATTGTTTAATAAGTTGCAAATCATTGCCAGTATTTACACATTGAATATTAAAACAAAACAGAGTTTACAAATAGGCAGTTCAGTTATTCCCATGTAATTCAGAATTAATTGCTTGTTGATTTAAAGTTGCAGTTAAGATCAGTGGATAAGATTGATGTAAATTGGTGAGAGAAATTTAGGATAAGCTTCATGAAGCTGACAATATGATGATACTAAGTGACCAACTAACTCAATAGATTAAAGTCAGCGAATTAAATTCATCTCGGACAGCAGCACCAAACCGGCAGCTGAGCTTCTGTTTCCCTTGACGTCGAAGGAAATAAAATTTGGGCAAAATGTAAAACAGATACCAATCTGCTCTCATCTGTATACTGTGATGAATTTCACCCTGATACTTGTATCAGTGTTTCTTGAGTTTGTATATACTGAACTTTACAAAGGGTCATGGGTAAACATATTGCCTTACTTTGCTGATGGAGAATGCTGTTAAATTTTGAGATGCCCAACAGATGATCTGTAGTGGTGCTGTCTGTACTTCGAAGGTCCTCTACTCCAGGGTAAGTTTACTACCTGTGTCAACTAGCTTAAATCTTACCTCCTGTTGGCCCCAGAGAAACTGGCACATTTAAATCATTTCATATAGTCATGTTTTACCCTTGACCTCCAAGTCAATGAATCACCAGTTTCTAGACATAACATTTACTTCCTGAACTTTTGGTCCAGAAAGAGTCTGAAAGGGGTCCACATAAACCAGGACATTTTTACATCCTCTGTAGTGAGCTATCTCCTAGTCCACAGTATTGATGGCTGATCTTCTATCACTGTTGAGGAAGATATAGCCCTTTGTAGTTTAATTAGCAGTAGCACTCTACTTTCCTGATGTTTGGTCTAATGACCAGCTCCACTTTGAGGACACGTTGAAGGCACTCCTTAGGTAATGTCTCTGACAGATGAAGGTGGGATTCAGCGTCTGCCATTTCCTTCCCCGCATGTTATACTCATGGTGGGGAGTAGGTCATTAACTGATGGTTAGAGGAAGTGCCCTGACTAATTTTGTTTCCTGAAGTTCTGTCCCTATAATCACATTATGTAAGGGTAGGGAAGATTTGCATTTTTATAACTCTATTCATAAAGACATCGGAGAGCACTTCAGATAAGATGAAGTTATCCCTACATTTTTGTCACTGCTGCCAAGGCCAGGATTAGTAGTAGCCTCACGTCAAGTTTATGATACTGATATGTGGCTGTGAAGAGCTTGTAATTTGAGGCTAACACTGTTTGTTTGACAAAAACGAAGAGAACTGGAAAGATCTTGTCTTCTTGTCAAATATGAGCAGAAAATGTATGTTTTTGTTCAGTGCTGACAGTCTACAGGAGAGCTGTTGTTAAGAGCCATGTGTCTCAAGGAGAGAAAGAGCGAGAGAGGAACACTTCATGGATTAATGTGATGAACCATTTAATAAGAGGTTGTAATTATAAAATATGGACAGGTCAGATGTGAAGTGGTTTGAATATTCAATACTGACGATGCAGAGTTTGAGAGAAATTTTCGACTCAAGTGTTCTCTCTCTCTCGAGAAACATAGCTCAGTTCCACGTGCTATAAGATTGTGTTCATTGAAAACCTCATAAATCTGTACCATTTGATTGTCATGCATGTTTGATGCTGAAATACGGTGTATCAAAGCCACCCTATGGGATCATGGACACCCCAATCAGGTTTCTCACTGCATATCAAGCAAACTCCTGGAGTGTCCCACGGCAGTCCCTCTTGATCCTGGATCTAGTATATCTCAGTCACTCTGGAAGGGTGAGGGATCTCGGATGTTTGATCAACAAGTGAAGTGAGCTGTTTCTCGTTGCCTATGCAGTACCAACATGAATGGTGTTCATCAGTAACTGGATGCTGCACTAAAAGCCAAAAAGACAATCTGCTTATCTGACAAATGAGTAATGTGATATATGAATTTTAGTGCTGGTGTGATGAGCTAAGTAGGCTGTACATCTCAAAATCAAGCAGACTGTCCCTTTGGCTGGTCACAACAAGTAAAGTACTGAATGATTCCAACCTAGTCCACACTTGCAGTGTCTAATATCAAATGTAATTCTGCAGTTAGATAACATTTGGTGGATAATCTTGAATGTGTAAAGAATTGCTTTGACAACCCAAAATTGTTTGAAAATCAGACTGTGCAGCATGTACTAGAAGCTACGTATATTAATGCACAGGGCCCTGTTCTTTACAGACAGACAGAACATGTGCACGCTCTGCTCCCATTTCAACCCAGCAAAATAGGTAACATCAGATTCTGAAGAAGGGTCCCAACCTGAAACGTCAACTTTCCTGCTCCTCTGTTGCTGCCTGGCCTGCTGTGTTCCTTCAGCTCCACACTGTGTTATCTCTGACTCCAGCATCGGCAGTTCTTACTATCTCTGAACAACGTTTGCTGGTCAGGCCATTGCCTGGGTTAAAATTTAAACAAAGATTGGCACTGAACTGTCAAGCAGCATTAATAGGTGTGTTTTCCACGGTAATGTTTCTTCCAATCAAAGTCCACTTGCCAACCAATCAGTACCCTTTTCTGATGCAGTATAAATGCTGCTTTTCCCCTTGAACAGGCATTTTTCTGAATCGTCCTGATGTGTACAAGCGGAGGTACATCAAAAAATATCTTTTTCACTTGCTTAACATAAGGTTTACCAGACTGATTCCTGGAGTAGCAGGACTGATGTATGAAGAGAGACTGGATTGGTTAGGATTATGTTTACTGGAGTTTAAAAGAATGAGGTGTTATCATAGAAACCTATAAAATTCTGACTGTACTAAACAGGGTAAATGCAGGGAGAATGTTCCCACTGACCTTGGAGCCCAGAACCAGTGGGTCACAGTCTAAGGGTAGGCCACTTAGGACTGACATGAGGAGAAATTTCTTCACGCAGTGAGCGTTGAGCCTGTGGAATTTTCTGCCACAGAAAACGGTTGAGGCCAAAACAATGTATGTTTTCAGAAAGGAGTGAGATATAGTTCTTGGGGCCAAAGGGATCATATGGTATGGGGAGTTTATTGAGTTGGATGCTCAGTCATGGTTGTAGTGAATGACAGAGCAAGTTCAAGGGCCAAATGGCCTATTGCTCCTATTTTCCGACTTTATATAATGGAAGGTATTCAATGTCATTATTTTTGTCACAATAATGTATGCAGGAAGAGCATGGATACCAATGAACAAGCAATATTTTTGAGAAGATTAAAGTAAAATAATAGGATTTGTAAATTTAACAACAGATATGGAAGAGAGATTTTTTTTGTTTTTTTTCTGGTTCAGACCTTCATCAGAACTTGGGCTTGACTGAAGCATTTATCGGTATTTTCTGTTTTTCAGTTGAGCTAGCTGGTGTGTCCTATTGAAGTAGAATGCTTCTTAGATTATGTCTTAATACTTTTGAAATTGTCTTTTTATCTGTTATAATAATTGTTTGTGTACCCTCCCCAAAAGAATTTTAATTCAAGTTTTGATTTCATATTTAGATGAGTCACATAAGAAGATGAACATTTTTAAGTTGCCGTATCGGCTGGTGTTTGCTGTAGCTTCAGAAGATTCCGTTCTCTTGTATGACACTCAACAGACAGTGCCCTTTGGTTATATCTCAAATATCCATTATCACACCCTGAGTGATATAACATGGTAAGAAAAGATTTACGAAGGAAGATCCCTCAATGTGCTTGCTTTGAATTTTCCATTTTGTACACATTGCTTTGGAATCCCAGTCCTTATGACAAGTGGTGATTCACATTCATGAGGACTTTCTTATCATTCAATCTTATTCGTTCCTGATAACAAACCTTCCATTGTTCCAATTCAGCAATTTTAAATGAGGGTAGTGTCTTGGCTTCAATTGGCAACTAGATTAGTTCCACTAATGCACTGTTCCACTTTGCACTTTACAGCTGTGAGCTTGAGCTGTTTTGTTCTGATCTAAGTATAATTATGTTTAAGCTTTGTCTACCTCTGTATTGCCTATGTACACTGTCTGTTCTTGAGGCTATCCATTACTTAGGTTTAAACCTGTGTCTCTGTCTCTCTTTTGTATCTCAGTGGTAAAGTATCTGCTGATGGATGACCCATTCTTAATTTGCATAACTTTGAAGTTGTGCCTGTATGACCTAGCAGATTGGCATGTTTGAAAATGTTGTTTAGGCAAATGGCATCCATCTCTAAGATCTTCACTTAAATGTTGCTTAGTGTTTGTGACAAGAGGCAAAAAGAAGTGGCCTAATAATGCTAAATGGTTAACCAGGCTTATACCAGGAAATGCACAAATTGTTTTCTATGGATCCTATCACACCTAATTATTTTGTCAAACATAGATGTTAAATATGTTAAATAGATTTTTTGTTTTAAGAATAAGTCATCTTAATAAACTTATGACCATAATTTGGAATATAATTCTTACGTGCTGTTTCGGGAAAATGGAAGGTTTGTTATTAGGAATGAATAAGGTTGAATGATATGAAAGTCCTCATTAATGTGAATCACCACTTGTCATAAGGTCTGGGATTCCAAAGCAATGTTGAAAAAAAACGGAGAATCATACTTTTTGAGAATCATTGTATAAAATTGTACATTGTTGGGAAGAAATCCCAATGCCTTTCATTTAAGTTGGAATATTGCCCACCCGAATCTCCGTTTACCAGTTGTCTTCTGCCATGCAACATCTGGTGGGGCATCCATCTTCAACTGTAAAAGTGCTGTTAACCTACTTTCAGATTCTGTATGTTCCATTTTCACATCTAAAATAATCAGTGGCCTTGGATGACTTGTCTGCAGTTTATTTAGTTACTGTATTTCTGTCCATAAAGGACTTGGAGCTGCTGATTGCGGGGAAAATAGCCATGTTAGTCGGAGAGTCATAAAGGTCTATAGTAAAATCTCCTCTGAACCCTCTTAAGGGCAGTCACATCCTACCTATAATGTGGATTTCAGAATTGCACACAATACTCTAGATGTGGTCTAAACAACATTTTTTAACAGTTCCAGCATAACCTCCCTGCTCTTAAGCTCTGTGCCTCAGCTAATAATACTGTATTGTGGTGAGCCCCAACCTTGTGCTATGCCAACCTCTCATTACATCAGTTTGACCCACTATCAGCGTGAACATCCCACTGGACCAAATGAAAATTCTTCTTGTAATTATTGCTTAAGTAATGAAATTGGCCAGGGATATTACTGAGATTGTAAAAATTTATTTGAGTGGAATATGTTGCTGTTTTGGGATGCTTGCTTGCAACTTTTACTTGATGGTCCGAGTTGTCCTGATGTATTTAAACTGAGACGTTTGCAGTTTTGTCTCCTCTTTGCTGAACTGTGAATGTTTCAAATAGACTACTTCTGAGAAAAGTTTCTGGAATTCTAGCTGAATTGTGTCGCATGTATCCTTTCAAATAGGTCACGAGATGGGATGTTCCTCACTATATCGTCCACAGATGGATATTGTTCTTTTGTCACGTTCGAGAAAGGTGAATTGGGTGTACCTTTGAAAGAAAAGCCAGTGCTCTCCATCCAGGCCCCTGGCATCTCAGAGAAAAGACTGAAAAAGGGTCAAGCAAACCGGTTATCTGCTGGCACCCCAAAACTGACGGAGAGCGGCGCTGCTGCTCGGACTGTGGATCAGCAGGACCATTCTGCCCTTGCTCAGCCAAACACACTCAGTGCAGCGACAGCCCCTGCGAAAGAGATGCCCAGTACTCCCAACACAAACAAAGCCTCCCCATCCTTGTCAGATACTGCTGTACAGGGCAGCAAGGCTTCTCAGCCCCGGAGGATCACCTTGAGTACGTTGGAGGCCTGGAGCAAACCCAGCAAAGCCCCTGTGCCCAGGTAAAGTTGAACCTCACATCCGCTGTCAATTCCTTAATCGCTCCAGTGGTTGTCCCTCTTAGCTTGCAGTTGGTTCAGAAAAAGCTTAAGGAGAGTTCAGACATTTGAAAAGTAAAATATAACTCTTAAACGTTAAGTGAATATTAATGTCTATGCCTGACACTTTTTTAATGAGAGGGTTTTCAAGGCCAGACACATCACGGAGTCCAGTGACAGCCTCCATGACAGACACTGGTAGAACTGCAACCAAAGATTTCAGATTTCCAGCCTGCTCCCTCCAGTCCAGGAAAGGGAAATTCCTGAAAATGATGAATAAGTAAATGATCACATCTGTTTATATTTACATGACAGTTATTCGCAGCAGAAATGTAACCTCGTGGTCTGGCATATCTCCCCCCTCACCGTTACCATCAAACCAAAGGATCAACCTTGCATATCAGGAGCTGAACCAGGCAGATGTAAAAATAAGGTGTCAACACAATTAAGCTGAACGTAGGATGTCTTTGTGTTCTAGACTATGGAAGCTGCACGCTTCAGCAACAGATAGGGCAAGGCAATCCCACACTAAGCGATCAGATCTAAACTCTGGCACTTGTAGTTGTGAATGGCAGTGGACAATTAAACATCTAGCAGGATGAGGGGGGAGCCCGATACATCAGTGCAAAACACCAGACTGAAGTATTATTTGATTGATCCATCTCCACCTCCTCCAGTGGTCCCCAGCATCACAGATGCTAGTCTTCAGCCAATTTGACTTTTTCACCAGTTTCACTCCATGTGACATCAAAAATGGCTGAGGCAATGGGTACTGCACGGGTTGTGGGCCCTGACAACATTCTGACAATAGTACTGCAGACTTGTGCTCCAGAACTAGTGGCATCCTGGCCAAGCTATTCCTACTGCAACACTAACATCTACCCAGTAATGTGGAGGATCACGAAGGTATGTCCCCTTTGCAAAACATTCGTGTCTAAAACTTCCTGCTGTCTGAAATTATGTCGGGCACAAAGAAAGATAGTTGTTGGAAGTTAGTCATTTCAATCCCAAGGTGTCTCTGCAGGAGATTTTCAGGGTAGGGTTCTAGACGCCACCATCTTCAGCAGCCTCATCAATGACCTTCCTTCTGTTACGCAGTTAGAAGTGTTGATGTGCGATGATCAGAGAACAGTGTTCAGCATTATTCGCCATTCCTCAGATATACTAAGACCTCACTTGTCGTTGTGTTCCTGAAAGTCACAGCATTAGGTGAGATATTGGTGCTGATGAAAACCGGAGTTAAACATGCGGTTAGATTCTGTGGACCTTCTGTATCAGGGGAAAAAATATTAGAACATCATAACCTCCTAAGCTGAAATGATTTATGTTGCTAAACTCCCGCATTCAAAAATGGGTAAATGAAACAGCTTTTTAAAAACGTTTCTTCTCTTGAACCCTCACTGTTTGTGAGGACTTGGGGGGGGAAGAACAATGAGGCAGCAGCAGCAACAGCTTTGACAGTCGTTTAGGGGAAAAAAACCTTGGATTGTAAAAGCCATAGCACCTCTGAGCCATTGAGACTCTCACTTCCCCGCAAAGTGGAGCTCAAAATTTAGATTGAATCTAGGCAGTGAGTGGGAAGTGCAAATCCAGGAGAGGGAAGTGGCGAGTGGGTCCAAGCGTGAGGTTGGTTTCGGAAGAAAAGCCAGAATTTGGAGGCTCGGGAGTAGGAGAGGTACTAACATTCACTACTTCCATCACTGATGACAGAGTGCACAATAAACTATACACATGGCAGTAACTCACCAAGCCTCCTTCAAATCTTTGGATGGCACCTTCCAAATTCATTATCTGTACCACACGGCGAAAGAGGTATATGGAAACACCACCACTGGCAGGGAACCCTCAGCACACTGTCCTGACTTGGAATAATGCTACTGTTCTTTCACTGCTACTGGATCAAAAATCTGAAACTCCATTCCTGACAGCACTACAGGAGTAACAACACCACGTGGGCTAAAGTGGTTAGATCACTGTCTCCTCTTCAAGGGCAGTTAGGGATGGGCAACAAATGGCCAAGCTGTTAACTTCCATCAAAGGATTAAAGAAATGGTGTGCTCCACATGTGTGTGGCTCACATTGCGTATTGCTGCTGAGGTGGGAAAACTGCCTAGGAGCAAACAATCCATCAGAGATGGGAACACACCTCACTCAACATCTCCTGTTGAAATAGAACGGTGCTGCCTGATGTTTTAAGCACTCCACACCACATGAGGACTGCATATAGAGTCGGGGGAGACTGAACTCACTGCAAAGAGTGTATGGGACACTGTGCTAATAGGGCATCATGATGATGCTGCTAACTGGCCAGAGAGCAGCTGTGTATAGCACATGTGATACAATCACACTGAAAAATATCTTATCATTCTATTTCTGACCAGTCTGTGCCCAGGAATTATTGATACAGAGTTTGACTTGTCCTGCTGCTATGCCAGTTTGGATTATGTTAGTATTTACATTTATGATTTCTCAACAGGATCCATACAGACTACTGATTGAGTGTTAACCCAGACTATTATCAAAGGGTCAGACCTGGCTAACAATTGCTCAACAACCTTAGAAGTAAAGCCAGCAGCTTTTGCCCATTGGATGTACCACTGAAGTTGACAGGTTTAATTGACGGGTGGTTTTTAAAAGCTGTTCAGTTAAGCTGCAGTAATTCTGTTCACTGCTTGCCAGTTTTAACGTTATATATGTTCTGATTAATTTAGTCTCGTCATATAGTCGACAATGTGACAATATTAAGTGGCCAGCCTACTGAATAAGTTAAAGTCAGAGAATGAAATTCACCTTGATCAGTAGCACCAAGCAGGAGGCAATACCTTGACAGCCTGGCTTACAGTCTGCTGCATTTTCTAGTCATTTGAGGTCAGTGAAAAAGGAAAACCAGGTCGACTGTAAAACAGGTGACAATCTGCTCTTTTCCATTTTGTATGTTTACCTGGGAGGAATTCCATCTCTCATGCTTGTACGTAGCTGGTCTTTGTTTGGAAGCTGACAAGAGCAGGGCATTTGGTCTTACAGTTGTGTGAATTTTGTGCTGAAATGCCTTGGGTATCCTATCCTTTGTGTGATTGGGGACTTTGAGTAACAAGCTGTTTTGGGGCTTTTTCTAGGCGAATCTCACTGACTGCTCTGAACTCAAGTTCCTCCCAGGTGACATCAACACCAGCCATAACCCAAGCAGAAAAAATAGCATATGGTGAGTATGTGATATCTGACCATCGATGAACCAAATTTGAGACTTGTTCTTTATCAGTCTTGGTCTCATTTTTGAGATTAAAAGCAGTAACATGAATTAAGAAAGGCTGAGGTGACAGTATAAGTCTAGCAGATGAAAGTGTGTTTGTGTCTCTGATGGAAGCTGGTTTCTGTTGGCCAGAGTGACTCATCGAGAGTTACATCACGAAGGAGGCCATTTGGCTGATTGTGTCTGTGCAGTTCAATAAAGATCTGACTGCCATAATCCCATTTTTCAGCTCTTGGCCCATAGCCCTGAAGGATATGGTAACGCAAGTGAAGATCTAAATACTGCTTAAATGCTACAAGAGTTTTTGACTTGACCATATTTTAGGCAGAGTTCCAGACTCCACTCACCCTTGAGTGATAACACTTCTCCTCAACTCTCCTCATGGATTTAAGATAAAAGATAGAAATCTTTGTTCCCTGCTTATTGACCCATCTAGTAATGGAAAATGAGCTTTCCTATCCATCCTGTCTGTCCCCCTCAGAATCTTGTACATCTCTAGCAGGACACCCACCTGACCTTTGCTGAACAAAGGAAACCAACCCCACTGTAGCCAATCCTTCCTCATAACTCAGTCTAGGTAGCATCCTGGTAAATCTTCTGTGCACCCTCTCTAATGCAATTACATCCTTCCTATAATGTGACCGGAACCATGTGGCCTATATGGTTTCAGTATAACCATCTTGCTCTTCTATTTGGTTCCTTCACTGTTATGGGTAAGTGTCCCATTTGTGTTCTCAAGCACCTTATCTACCTGCCCTGCTACCTTCAATGATCTATGGACACCAAGATCCCTTGACCTTCAGTAATTACCAGGGTCCCACTTTCATTGTGTAATCTCTTTTCTTGTTACACCCTGTGAAGTGCATTACCTCACTTTTTTTTTCTGGATGAGTTCCTTTTATCGCTGCTCTGCCCACATGACCAGTCCATTGATATTCTCCTGCAATTTATGGCTATCCTTGTCCCAATTTTCCTGTAATTCACAGATTTTGTAATTATATCCTCTACATTCTCATCCTCTCTCTTGCCCTCTCTCTCCCGCCCTCTCACTCACGTGTCTGAATATTAGTTCCAGAACTGTCCCTTCCCTTGTAAGGCTTTCTAAGTACTAGCTGAAAAATTTCTCCTTGATAGATATTACAATTTTACTCTCTGTCTACCTTGCACACCAGAACTTCTCCAGTTAATATTTGAGTAAAGTTTCCCTACTATTTCCGTCTTATTATTCTTCTCTGAAATTCTATTACATGTGGAATCTGTGTTCTATTGCAATAGTTTATTGGGTTCGGAGCTCACTATTTTCATTAATGTTTGAAGACAGACCATGAACAGTTCCTGATATCTCTCACATCCAGTTATGTAATTATATTTACTTCCTATTTTTAATGTTTGGAAAATAAAAACTTTTTGTCAGATACTGACTTTGAGAGTCGGAAGGGTGATGCTAGTAATGGTAATAGTAGATGGTAATGCTAGTAAATGACCCTTAGGGTATAGTCAGTGCCTTAGAAGGACTGGGGAAACACTTCAGGGATGTCCTTAAAGCATCACTGAAGAGATCAAACATCCCCACCACCTTGTAGGAGACCCTCGCTGATGATGAACCAAAATAAGCGGGGAGGCAATGGCCTAGTGATATTATTGCTGGACTGTTAATCCAGAGACCCAGACAATGTTCTGGGGACCCGGGTTCGAATCCCACCTCAGCGTGTGGTGGAATTTGAATTCAATAAATATCTGGAATTAAAAATCTAATGATGACTGTGAATCCATTGTCGATTGTCAGAAGAACCCATTTGGTTCACTAATGTACTTCAGGGAAGGAAACTGCCATCCTTACCTGATCTGGCCTACATGTGACTCCAGGCCCATAGTAATGTGGTTGACTCTTAACTGCCCTCTGGGCAATTAGGGATGGGCAGTAACTTCTACCTGCACGGATGCTGCTGGACTTGCTGAGTTTCCCCAGCATTCTCCAGTTTTCTTTTGGTTATATTCGGGTTCACTCCCTGGGTTTTGCTGCTGAGCCACTCTCAGCTGGGTGGTGGCACAGTGTGACTGGCACCATTGGCCTCAGCCACAAAAGTAGAAATGATTGAACCCAGGATTGCTGTTTGCTGCTGTGACGAGCTTGAGTGTATTTCAGATGAGAATAAGATCAGTCTCTGGTCAGGATACCCATAGGCAGTAAGATCCTGCAGTGTAGCTGGTGCTTTATTCTGCTGTGTCACTGGGGACAAGCAGAGGAGGATTTAGTGCGACAAATCTGTGTTGGTGGGAGAAATTTAGTGAAATGCATGTTTTGAATAATTAGAAGTGGATAAATGAATACTGCCTGAACCCCTCCAGGCAGTGTAAGATGCAGGGTCAGAGGCAGGCCATTCAGCCCTTCTGCACCAGTCAATGAGATCATGGCTGATCCGATGAGCCTCCGCTCCACTTACACTTTCTGTAGGGAGGACCTTGGATCATTTCAAGGATGTTTTATTAATTCAAATTGTTGCTGAAGCAGTTTTTTTTAACAGCTGCTGGAAGACGCTGGCGGTTTCAGCAAAACATGCCTCCAAATAAAACATTTGTGTGAATAAATGTTATTTTTGAGGGCTGTCCACTACCTTGAGGCCATTGTCTCTTTGCTGGGAGATGGCTCTGCTGGTGCTGGCTGCTCATCTGGTTTTCTGAAGTGACCACTCTTCTAAATTTTTTGACCTTGAACAGCGTGTGTTGCTGGGCTACTGAACTTGTTGAGGCATAGCAATTGTGTAGCGTTCAGTCCCTATCCAATATATGTGTATAGTTTAGTTGGGCAAAGCTACATTTTATAAATTAAACACTGTTTTATGTTTCAGAGAGACCTTCTTCCCACGATCCTTCATGCAAGTCGCCAGATGCTAAACGTTCGAGGATTGATGATAAACAGAGCATCAGTCCCACAGATAATCTGAAAACAAATAATGATTGCAGGAGGGACAAATGAACATTGCTCAGAACGTTTTAAAAACATGTACTTTGTATAAAATTCTGCAGTGTGATCAGTTTTGCTGCAATGTGTAGATGTATATGCAAGCTGGAAGTTGCAGTGTAAAGCACCTCTTAATTTTGTTATTCTTTTTGTTACAAGTTTTACATATAACATCCTTTTGTCCTCCTGGTATTGGTGACATTAGGCTGTTTCTAAATGTGAATAGTCTTGTTTTAGTTAATCATTGTACAAAGTAGCATCAATTATGTCTTAAAATTAAAAGCGTTTTCTGTTACTGTTGATTGAAATGTGCACTTGATATTCCAGTCCCGAAAAGATTCAACTTGATGTAGCCCCTATATCGCAGCTCAAATATCCTTCATGCTGCACATGTGCTTGAAGTGGAGTGACTTAGTGCTTCAACCACTTTCTGCACAGCAAGTAGAATGTATAACAATCAACTAACCTGCTTGCTAATGTCAGTAAATGAGTGAACTCAAGCCATGCTCCCATTTGAAATGTTTGACATTGTCATGCATTTTCTGCGTGTAGATATCTATGTGTAATAAGGAGGATATAATGAGGATGTAAGGTAGTGGATAGTGATTTTGTTCTCACTTTACACTGGCCGCTTTCAGAGCTGCCATGTAAGTGAGGGAGTGGATTGCTTTACCTGTCCCCAGTGATTTGGGAGAAAAGAACATGAAAATGTGAGTTTAAATGACAGGAATGGTGGTGTTTGAGGAATATGGTACTATCTTGTAAAAGGGGAAAGTAAGCAATGCGTGCTGTTGCCTTGTACCATATACTTAGACGAGTTTTGGGGAGTCAGGACGTGAGTTACTAGCCCCAGAATTTCTATCCTGAGCTGATCTTGTAGCCACTGTATTGATATGGCTAGTTCAGTTTATGGTCAGTGGCAATCATAGGGCTATTTAATTAATTGGGTTATGAGAGTCACTTCTTATTGATGAGTTATCTGATGTAGGGTTAAATTTGACTTGGAATTTACCATGCTCTGCAAACTGATGATCGCATATTGACCCACAGCTCTCTTCAACTTTCTCTGAAGAGCAGTATCTCACTACATTAAGAAGATGTAACACTCCTTATTCATTGGACTATGAAATCTTTTAGGGACATGGCAACAACTCTGCAAGACCATTGACCTTTGAACTGAAGCATCCTGCATAAACAGGTGAAAGAAATTGGAACTTGGTTTCAAAGAGGCCAGATGCAGACACCAACTGATGAACCTGAGAAAGTTGTGAACAACACAGCAGCTGCTCTCACGACTTCATGTTGTAAGCAGTCTTTTTTCAGAAAACAGTTTGTTTTCAGGATGTGGGTGTGTGCAGTATTTCACATGTAGCCAAGTAGGTGACTCAGATTCACTTCCTTTCCCTCAGTGCCCTGCAAACATTCACAACAGCGAGAGTGAATTTGACTTTGGGTGATTGATATTGAATTTTGCTGAATGCATAATATTTAATATCTAAATTGAATAAAAATGAAAGTTATAATGGATAGTCATAATAATTTTGGCAAATCCATGCCATCACACAAAGACGAAATTATCTCTGGAAGCCCTAATGATACTGGCCTCCCAACCTCAGGCCAGGAGAACAACAACAGAATTAGCACAAAGGAGGACTGTTTCCTCAATCTGGGATAGTAAATAGGCAACAGCAATTAAGTCACCTCACAAGAGTTGGATTAATTTGACAGCTATGAAAGAAAAAAAGTAGATCAGAGATGAGAGTCAAACCGTAAGGGTTCAGATCATCAAATTTGAGAATTCTCTGTATTTGCTTATATCAGTGGACTTAGCAGTCAAGCGCTTATACCAGTTGTGGATTCTCATCCACCCCAAACTGACCGCATAAAAAATCTGAAAGTCATGAATAAAAATCGTGAACCATGGAACAATGCTGTAAGTTTGTTCAAGAATTATTCTGACTTTAGCTTCACGTTGATATAATTGATTCTTAACTGCTTTCTGAAGTGATGTAGGAGACCATTTGGTTTTAACAAATTTTTAGTGGTCTACAGTGAAGGCCCATTGATACTACGAAAGCAACCATTAAGGTAGCACACTATCACGTCCCTTGAATGTTACAAAGGGCTTTATAATCAATGAATAATTTAGTTTCTTTAGTGCATCTTAGAGTCATACAATATGGAAGCAGACCCTTCAGTCCAATAGCCCACGCCGACCATGCTCCCAAACTAAACTAGCCCCATCTGCCTGCATTTGGCCTTCATCCCTCCAAACCTCTCTTATTCATGTACTTATCCAAATGTCTTTTAGATGTAATTGTACCTGCATCAACCACATCCTCTGGCAGATCATTTCACACATGAGCCACTCTGTTTAAAAAAAAAAGTTGCCCCTCATGTCCTTTTTAAATCTTTCTCCTCTCACCTATAATATGCTCCCTAGTTTTGAACTCCCCCACCTTAGGGAAAATAACTTTTCTATTCACCTTATCTACACCCCATAATTTTATCAACCTTTATAAGGTCACCCATCAACCTCCTACGCTCCAGTGGAAAAACAATCCCAGCCTACTTTTAAAATTTAAACCCTCTTTTCACAGCAACATCCTGGTAAATCTTTTCTGAACTCTCCAGCTTAATAATATCCTTCCTATAACAGGGTGACCAGAACTCCAGAAGAGGCCTTACCAATGTCCTGTACAACCTCAACATGGCGCCCCAACTCCTATACTCGAAAGGTCTGAACAGTGAAGGCAGGGGGTGCTAAATGCCTCCTTACCACCCTGTCTACCTATGATACAAGTTTCAAAAAACTATGTACCTGAACCTCTAGGTCTTGTTTACAATAGATGCCCATATAGGACAGGAATAGATCATTAAATCTTTGGAGCCTGTTCTGCAGTTCAACAGACCATGACTGGTCTGTGGCCAAATAGGTGCCTTTGCTCTATCATGTACTACTATTGGATAATATGGTTCATCAATCTTGTTTTTAAAAATTAACGATTGACCCAGTATCAGTTTTTTTTTGTCAGTGTTTGAATTTTACCCTTACAAGTTCTCGTGTTTAGCCTCTTTTGCTTAGTCATGGCATCCATAATAATTTTTCAATCTCCCCTATTCACCTTAACTTGAAAACTTCTTATCAAGTTGCATTGTAACTATTGTCACAGCAAAACTTTGATTCAATCTGAAAATCACCCTTTAAAAGCTGTGTAAATCTCTTAAAACCTTTCAGTGTGAAATACAGGCCTGTTCTGTGCAAAGAGAACTTCAGATCATTCCTGTAACAGCAAGAAGTATTAGTTTAGTTGTCTTTATCACACACAAACATTTGCTTTCTTTTGCTGATGAGGTAGGATGTGTCCCATTACATAACTTGCTTTATTTTTGCTTAGATTCTATTTTGAAAAAGAGCAGGAAATTCTCCCTGATGTCCTGGGTATCATTTGTCCCTGAATCAGCATCGCTGAAAACAGATTCCCTGGCCATTACCATGTTACTATTCCTGGGAGAAAATTGGCTGTTGCCTTCCTACTTTACAACAGAGACTACATTAAAAAAGAATTTTATTGGCCGGAAAGCCCATTGGGGCATCCAATTATAAAAGGCACTGTATTGACATAGAAGCTTATGAATTAACAGGAACAGACTATTTAAACAATCTTTCTTTTAGAAATCAACAGGAAGTAACTCAGGTGGGTGTGTAATGACCAATTAATCACTGTGGTACCAGTTTATAGAATCCCTACAGCCATTCAAACCATTGAGTCCACACCAACTCTCCCAAGAGCATCCCACCCAGATCCATCCTCGCAACCCTACGTTTTCCATGGCTAATCTACCTAGCCTGCACTTACCTGGACACTGTGGACAATTTAGCATAGCCAAGCCACCTAACCTGCACGTTTTTGAACTGAACGAGGAAAGTGGAGCACGCAGATAGGGGGAGAACATATAAACTCCACAGTCAATCACCTGAGGCAGGAGTTGAACCGGGTCCCTGGCACTGTGAGGCAGCAGTGCTAACGACTGAGCCACCACTGAAAGTTAAAACTAGACCGAGACTGTTTAAAATGATTTATTTCTTGTTCAAAGCATTTCATTTTATTGTTCCAAAATTAATTTCCTGGTTAAATCTACAGTTGGTGTACGTTGTTTTTAAGCTCCATTCTGATTTTAGAAATTATTTCAATGAGGTGACAATATTTTCCTAGGCATGGAATGAAATTAATTTTGCAGTCATCTTCTTTAGTCATGGGATATGGTTGTCATTGGCTAAGACAGTATTTATTGCCCATCTCTAGTTGCCCTGGAGGCAATTAAGAGTCAACCGTGTTACTGTGTGTCTGGAGTCAAATGTGGGCCAGAGCAGTTAATGATGGCAGTTTCTTTCCCCAAAGGGTGTCAGTGAATCGGATGGATTTTTCTGAATAATCACCAATGGTTTTATGGTCATTGTTAGATTCTTAATTCCAGATTTGTAAAAAAAATGAATTCAGTTTCCACCGTCTGCCATCACAGGTTTGAATCCCAGTTTTCATGGTGAGCGGTGGCCTAGTGCTATTATCGCTAGACTATTAATCCAGAAACCCAGCTAATGTTCTGGGGACCTGGGTTTGAATCTCACCATGGCAGATGGTGGAATTTGAATTCATTAATTTTTAAAAAAAGTCTGGAATTAAGAATATACTGATCACCATGAAATTGTTGCCGATTGCTGGAAAAACCCATCTGCTTCACTAATGTCCTTCAGGGGAGGAAATCTGCCACCCTCACCTGGTCTGGCCTGCATGTGGCTCCAGACCCATAGCAATGTGATTGACTCTCAACTGCCCTCTGAAATGGCCTAGCAAGCCACTCAGTTATACCAATCAGTTGTTTCAGCGGCGGGAGTCCGGGAGGAAGCGCGAGGGCAGCCTGGGAAGGTGAGCTTTTCGGTTATAAAAGTCTTACCTCGCGTGACTGCGGCCTTTCAGTTGTTTCAGCGGCGGGAGTCCGGGAGGAAGCGCGAGGGCAGCCTGGGAAGGTGAGCTTTTTGGTTATAAAAGTCTTACCTCGCGTGACTCCATTTTTGGAGTAAGTGAGGTAATATATTTGGGCGGTTGCTTTACCCGAAACACTACCTAGGTAGTGTCTCCCACCCATCCTCCTCCTCTAACCAAAAAAAAAAGGTTCTGAGCGCTGATTTGGTAAGGCTACTAGTATTTTTTTTTAATTTGTCTGTTTGGGAATTCAGAACAGCGGGAATGGATGTTAGGGCAGTTGTATGCTCCTCCTGTAGAATGTGGGAGG